CGGCGAATGATTAGGAAAATCCTGCAAGAAGAGCTGCGGGCCCTCGGCCTTCAGTCTGCCGAGCCTCCAGTTGCTTTTGTTGCGGAAATCGTGCGCCGCGAACTGCAGCAAGCCTTTCCATCACCGGCGCAACCGCCTGAACCACGTCTGTTGACCTATGCTGAGGCCGTCCGCCGTTATCTCCTGCCCCAGAAGAAGTGCCCTTTCAGCCACGGCCCGTTCCCTTGCCTTGGTGGCAGCGGGAACCTGTGCGGCACCAGTACGCTGGACGGACTTGTGACGCACTGCCGACCGTCAACCCTTTATTTCCACTGCGGCGAAAGAGGCCACATTTCACGCTACTGCCATCATCGAAAAGCCCGGTTCAGAAACTTTTATCGTCCCTTTATTTTATTTTGAAGACCCTTGTGACCATGGTACTTATCACCTGCCCACCAACCAAGCTTCTTCACCACGTCGTCGCTGGCGGTCTCCCTCTCTTGCACGAGGTCACGCTTCCCCCAATCGCCAAAGTTGCGCTGACGCCGTCAGAAACCGCTCCCCAAGCCCGTGCCAAGGAAACAAATCAAAGTGGACTATTGGGCCAGTTGGTAATACATGATCCAAACATACTACGCGGTAGAGAACCTTCAGTTGATAGCCTGCGCTTGTCCTTGTCTTTTTCCCGTCCTTCCGCGTAGTATATTTAGACCAAGGAAACTAACTGCTACGACCTCCGGTGGCAAGGTTGCTAATCACCGAAACGCCAAAAAGACTCCCTTGCCTCTACAAAAAAACGACTTGACGACGGTGATGACGAAGACGACGATAACCACGAGTACTGATGCCGACGAATTTGTACGTGCCGACCTTAGCGTTATTATAGACGGACACTACGTAACAGCACTGGTTGACCCTGGTGCTGAATTCTCTATTATGCGACAAGAGCTCGCCGACCTCTTTAAGAAGGTCAAGACGCCATAGAGTGGGCCGAGCATAAGGAGTGCTCGTGGACAACTAATGACACCTACCGGTGAAGGCATCACTTGGCTCGTAATCGGCGATTCGAACTATACGTCGCCACTTAAGTAATTTTACCAGACTGTTGTAAAGATATGATTTTGCGTATGGATTTTCTGCGAGAGTACGGTGCTGTCCTCAACATTCCAAAACGTATCGTCACCATTTTCGCCCATCCTTACGTCCACGCCGCCACTGAAGAACAACTGCAACGTTTACGTGTAGCCGATGATGTGATGCTCCCGAAGAGATCTTGCTGCCTTGTGTCGGTGTTATGTGAATGGCCGTGCCGTAACGAGGTGATAGCGGAGCCAACAGTCACGCCATTGCTTACACAAGGTGGTTCCATAGCGAGATGCGTTCTGGCACTAACTGATGGGCGGGCAGAAGTGCCCCTCACCAACTTCAGCAACGAGCGCCGTCACTTCTAGAAGGGCACCGCAATTGTCTACTACGACAACGTGGACCAAGCAAGAGACTGCTTCCCTTTGCAACCGGACGACGCGACCGTCGCCGCCTCGACACCTTTGTCTGTCAACATTTTCTTTACCCTGTCCCCCTTGGATAAACAGCGGCTACTAGAGCTGATACACAAGTTCGAAAACTGTTTTTCGTGCTCGTCGAAGGTCAAGCACCCACCACTGACCCAGCACAATCATTGTTGAAGAAAATACGAAACCGATTCGGCAAAACCCATACCATGTGGCTCCAAAAGAACGCGAGGAAATCTAAAAGCAAGTTCAGAAGATTCTCCAAGATGACGTAATACAGCCTTCCAATGTCCCTGGGCATTACCCATGGTGTTGGTTAAAAGAAAGACGGCAGCTTGCGTTTCTGTATATATTACCGCAAGTTAAATCAAGTCACGAAGAAAGACGTCTACCCACTGCCACGCATAGATGACTCTCTTGATCGGCTGCGGAATTCATGCTATTTCTCATCAGTGGACCTGCGAAGTGGCTATTGGCAGATAGAGGTCGACGAGAGAGACCGTGAGAAAACTGCCTTCGTGACGCCTGACGGTCTTTATAAATTGAAAGTGCTTCCATTCGATTTATGCTCAGCGCCAGCCAATTTTAAACGTTTAATGTACACTGTGCTATCACGACTGAAGTGGCAAACATGCTTTGTCTATCTAGACGACATTATTGTTTTCTCAGCTGCATTTGAGGAATACTTAAGTCGTTTGTTCGCAGTTCTACAAGCTCTACGTTCGTCTGGCCTAACTTTAAAACGAGAGAAGTGTCATTTTGTTTTCAGTGAACTTTTCTTCTTAGTTTACGTGGTCAGCCACGAAGGTGTTCGACCTGACCCGGGCAAAATTGACGCTGTCGCAAAGTTTCCTGCATCAAATGACAAAAGAGCAGTGAGGCGCTTCTTAGGCCTCTGCGCTTATTGCCGACGATTCATCGCCAACTTTTCGTCTATTGCCACGCCTTTGACACAGCTCACACGTGAGGATATCCCCTTTCTTTGGGGCGAAAAGGAACAAACTGCATTCAAAGAATTGCGCCAACGCCTCCAAACACCTCCGGTTTTCACGCACTTTGACCAGGAAGCACCAGCAGCACTTCACACCGACACAAGCAATGTAGGCCTGGGCACCGTACTGATACAATGGCAAGATAATTCCGAAAAAGTGATATTCTATGCCAGCAGAGCTCTCTCTCGCATGGAGGAGAACTACTTGACTACGGAGAAAGAGTGCCTCACCATGGTCTGGGTGGTTCTCAAATTTCGACCGTACCTGTACAGCTGCTCATTGGAAGTCGTCAGCGATCACCACTCGCTTTGCTGGCTCGCTTACTTGAAAGACCTATCCGGCCGTTTAGCACGCTGGATCCTTCGGTTTCAAGAGTTCGATATGACCACAATTTATAAACCAGGGAAGAAGCATACTGACGCAGACTGCCTCTCGCGGTAACCCATCGAGCCTGCCGCTAATAATGACGAGTCCACGGACGCGGCATTCTTGGGAGTCATGAACGCGGCCACTATTTCACAAGAGCAGCGCAGTGACCCCCACCTGCTTCCACTTGTCGACTTCTTAAAAAGATGACGTGAAGACGTGCCACGAGTTTTCGCCAGAAGACTGCCGTCTTTTTGTCTAAGGAACGATGTCCTTACAAGAAAAACGTTTCTCTAATCGGCAGCCCATACTTGCTCGTCGTCCTTGCATCAACGCGAAAAGAAATTCTGGAAGCCTGCCATGATGAAATCACCGCCGGTCATCTCGACTACACTCGACATTGTCCCGACTGCAAAACAGTTACTACTGGCCGCACCTACCTGCTGCCGTAAAGCATTACGTCCAAACCTGTGCCGACTGCCAAAGACGCAAAGCATCCCCTGCCAAGCCGGCAGGCTTATTACATTCAGTCCAAGTACCAGCAAAGCCATTCACCCAAATTGGAATAGATTTCCTGGGCCCATTCTAAACGTCTACCACAGGGAACAGATGGATCATTGTCGCCACCGATTACTTGTCTCGCTACGCTACAGCCATGTCGAGGGCCACAGAAAGAAAAGCGGCAAATTTCTTCATAGAAAACGCCGTCTTTCGGCACGGTGCTCCAACAGTTCTTATCACGGATAAACTGCATTCACGGCAGAGCTTTTGAAGTTGGTTCTTAGGCTCAGCGGTACAGCTCACCAGAGAACAACGGCGTACCACCCCAAACGAACGGACTAACGGAGCACCTTAATAAGACCGTTGCAGACATGCTTTGCATGTATATATGTCGACACGAAATACAGGAACTGGGATGAAATCTTGCCTTATGTGACCATCGCCTATAATACCGCCCGGCAGGAAACTGCCGGAATGACGCCGTTTAGTTTAATACACGGGCGCGAAGTTACTACAACGCTGGATGCCATGTTGCCGTACGAGTGTGACGACACTCATGCTCACGCTGAAGAATTCAGTCAGCGTACCGAAGAAGCCCCACAGCTAGCCCGCGAGCATATTTGTCATCAGCCACATAAAGATGCGAAACGGTACGACTTACGACCTAAATTGGTAACCTACGCACCAGGCGACAAGGTATGGGTCTGGATCCCAATACCTCGACGCGGACTTTCAGAGAAGCTATTACGACGATACTTTGGCTCATATTGAGTCACCCGACACTTGAACGACGTCAACTACGAAGTTATTCCCGACGGCGATTGCAGTTCCAGTTACCGAACTGCTCAACCGAGATCGTGAAAGTCATCCGGATGGAACCCTACTTGTCCAACTAACTCTCGCTTGTCTTGTGGGTACCGGTGCATATGTGCGTTTTTATAAGTAGAGTGCCTTGGCTGAACATCGGGACAACGCCATTTTTGGAGTGAGGCAAGTGTCACGTTCATCCTTCGAGAAAGACGAAAGCGACAGCGCATACGCGCATCTGCACGCTTTTATGCAGAAAGCAACAACGAGAAACACGAGAAACTCTCTGGCGCGCGGTAAATAATAAGACCAACCCGCTGCTGCTATCCCAGCTTCTTCAAATACGACCTCTGTCTTCACGTAGCGACAATATGTACTCCTATGCTATACAGCCGTCACGTGGGGTTAACGTGTGAAGTTAAGCGCCATGCTTTGAAGTTGACTTATGTAACAGTTTCTAAGGCTACCAACCTCGCGAGCACCCACGCTTCATATCAGCTTACCGGTTCTGGTGTTGCTAATATTCATGTTGCTGTTGGCATCGTTACGCAATATAAAACTGATTATATGAAATATATAATGCTGTCTAAAAATGCGTCTCTGTGCATTTGTACATATCTTTAGCGCCACTTGGTAACGTCTCACTCATTTAAAAAATTGCAGCACAGACACCTTTCATCCGTATGTTTCGCATAACATAGATTATCGAAGAACATGGGATCTGGCAATCTTTCTTTTTTGTTTCGTAATTGATGTATAGAGAATAAGAGGGACATACTACTCTTCTTTCGTACATGTCATCGTGCGCCTAGCCCCTTTACAAGGCCTAACTCTCTCTATGCAGACTTTGGAGACTTCCCCGAGATCTTGGAGATTATCGAGAAGAATTTCATTTACTGGAAGGATAAGGAACCACCCCCGCCCCAGTAAGCGAGTCGTCTGTGTACCGTGCGAGAGCGAACGACCACGGAAAAGCCCAACGAGGCGGCAAAGCAGCGCACACAATCGTTCACGTCAAGTTGAGCGTCTGCCGTCGCCGCGAAAAAATGAAGCTGTTCCACGTGCGTGCCATATAGGGACTGAAGTGCTGCAAAGTACGCATCGAAGGACTTCATGATACTCGGCATGCCAAGCTCCACTCACCAATCATCTTTTGCAATATAAAGTGTCCACTTGAATAAATTGTTTTTAATGTTGTGTGCAGCGCGCAACCCTCGAGCGCTTGCATATTGCTTCGGGCGCAGATATTATTGTGAAATGGCAGGACGCCGCAGATGTGGCGAACTCTCGAAGCACTGGCGGCAAATTGCGGGTGTAACTCGAGACGATGTTCATATTAGCCACGTCCGCAAGCGGCATACTGGGGTCGCACGTCCTTGCCAGACATTGGCGGCTAAAGCCATGTGTATATAAAGACATGATCACACAAGGCCTCAAAACAAGCAAATCGTGCTACGGGTGGGTGCGCAGAGCAACCCATTCATTTCGAAATGAGAAGCTGCGCGAAGGGCATTACTGGATACTTGTTGGTTTATTCACCAATTTTAAAACGCTGCTAGGAGTTAAACGATAGAGCCATGCCAGTGCCTAAAATAGCGTCGTGAAAAATAAGAATACTTAGCGCAGAATCGCACGAGGCGTCAAAACAAGCAAATCCCGCTACGAGTGGGTGTCCAAAGCTGCCCACTGATTTTAAAGTGTTGCCCCGCCGTGCTGGTCTAGTGACTAAGGTACTCGGCTGCTGACCCGCAGGTCACGGGATCGAATTCCGGCTTCGGTGCCTGCATTTCCGATGGAGGCGGAAGTGTTGTAGGCCCATGTGCTCAGATTTGGGAGCACGTTAAAGAATCCCAGGTGGTCAAAATTTTTGGAGCCCTCCACTACGGCCTCTCTAATAATTATATGGTGGTTTGGGGACGTTAAAACCTACATATCAATCAATAATTATAAAGTGAGCCGCTGCGCGTAGCGCTCTAATGTACGCCTGTGGGTTTATTCACCAATTTTCTAAAGGCTGGCAGCAGTTATACAATGGAGTCATGCCAGTGCCTAAGATAGCGTCGTGAAAACTAAAAATACTTCGCGCAAAATCGCACAAGGCGTCAAAACAAGCAAATCGCGCTACAGATGGGTGTGTAGCGTTGCCCACTCATTTCAAAGTGAGCAGTTGCGTGTAGCGCTTTACTGGGCGCCTCTTGGTTTACTCGCCAAGTTTCTTAAGTCTGGCATGCAGGAGTGAAACGATGCAGCTATGCCAGTGCATAAAATAGCGTCGTAAAAACTAAGCATCCTTAACGCATAATCGCACTAGGCGTCAAAACAAGCAAATCGCGCTACGAATGAGTGTGCAGAGCTGCCCACTTATCGCAAAGTTAGAAGCTGCGCGTAGCGCTTTACTGGACACTTGTTGGTTCATTCACCAAATTTCAAATCGCCATTCCAGCGCATAAAATAGCGTCGTGAAAACTAAGCATTCTTAACGCAGAGTCACACGAGGCGTAAAAACAAGCAAATGGCACGACGAATGGGTGTACAGGTGCCCACTCATTTCAAAGTGAGCAGCTGCCCGTAGCGCTATAATGGACGCCTGTTGGTGTATTCGCCAATTTTTAAAGGCTCGCAGGAGGCATGGCTCCATATAGGGAGCCATGCCAGTACCTAAAATAGCGTCGTGAAAACCAAGCATCTTTTGAAGCAGACTGCCGTGGACACGTTCGTGAAGGAAGAAGAGAATTGAAGTAGTAGAAAGAAGAAGTGGTTTAGGAATAAAAATAAATGGCGAACGACACCTGTATTTCTTAATTTATGCAACTGTGCTAATAATTTAGTCCCGGACCACTACAATTTGGTGCAGCCGAAGGCGGACATGTACGTCAAGTTCTTCATTCATCAGAACTCATCGCAGCCGGTCGTCTTCATGGGTTTCCAAGCTCAAGACGAGTCAGCAACTGACCTTCGTGATGGGCGTTCAGCAGTCTTGACCGACAAAGTCATGAAGCAAGCTGCCGTGGGCCGCGAGGAGCTTTTCCAGATGGAATCCGTGAAGGTGGAGCTGAGTCTGCAGGCACTGGAAGACCTTGTACTGCAACCGATGCGATGTCCGCGACTATCCCAAGACACTTCTACAGAGGTGAGCCTGTTTATGAAAATTGCCAAAGAGCAGCAGCGACAGATGATGCAGCACAGTCAAATAATGACAAACCTCTTTGATACAGTGAACAGAGATCCCGTATTTCAAAAGCTTGTGGAACCGGGTTGTTTTGAAGAAAAGACAGTAGCTATTAGAAAAGACAGCCTAAGACAGTAGTTATTTTTGTATGAATATGCATCACGAAAAAATTACTGGCTGCCTGGTGAAGAAAAAATTCAAAACATGTGTCGTCATCTTGATGGAACCGCAAAAAAAGTGGTACGACTTGCAGCGTTTTGACAAGGCACCACTATTTTGGAAACAATAGAAAGCGAGTTTCATTGATGCATATGAAGTCAGTGGTACGCAAAGATGGGACGATGGACTAGCTCGTCAGTATAAGTCTGGATTTCCCCTTGCGTATCACCTAGAAAAACGCCGTCTGCTATGCGCCGCGGAGCCTAACCTCTCTTCCCAGATAGTGTTAGATATAGTTATGCAGGGGCTCTCTGGGGAGGTTCGAAGAGAATTCACATTGACAGCCCCGAGAAGCATAGAAGACCTTCTTCGATGCCTAAAAATTGTGTTGCTAACGGTAACAAAGGAAAAACGAGGATCAACATCTGATAGAAAACCTCATTTCAATAGCCATGACATGTGCAACACGAACAAGACCAGCGCGTACTTATCTACAAATAAGCATGCTCGTAGCTGCATCTACAGCCTCCGCCAATGAATGGGTTCCAACGGGGACATCTTTCAAAGATCATGGAGCACTGCACATGAGCCAACGTGCTATCATTGCCCGCCTAGCTTGACGAGAGTGACCAAAATCAACTAAACAGCAGCCATGAGACAGTGTGCTTGATATCTTCTAGCCTGCTCCATATACCCGTGAAAATCGATGGTATCGAAATGAATGCCTTGGTGGATAGTGGAGCTTTTGTGACCATCACTAACAGCGATAGATTCAGCATCAGTCGTTTGCACGCTGGTAAAGTAACTCGAGTGCAAGAATACGATGGCTCAGTGAGCTCACATAAAGAGTGGGCGTTCGTGGTCATCGAATTCCAAGGTCACTCTGTCACCAGCACTGTTTTAGCAATGCCAGACGTGACGTACGACCTTCTACTATCTCGCCTGGACATGAAGAAGCTCGAGATTAGCATTTACTGGGATGACGAAATGCTCGTGGACGATGAGTCTCCAAGGAAGACGAAGGATCCGACAACTCGCCCATCACGAGTCGTTCATTGCGAAGACTACATCAAAGCCCTGTACCCTGAGCTCGTCTGCGTTGGAAGCCACCCTCCAGAAATGAAGTCGCATTGTGCCGTTTGAAATCACTGATTCGACCTTCTGTATCATTTTTCGCTTCACCTATCACTATCGCTCCAAAGGGAGATGGAACATTTCCGTCTTTGTGCGGATTATAGGTCACTCAACAAACGGAGCTGATACCGTTTCCCATGCCTAAGATAGACACAATTATTGACGAACCAGGTGGATGTCGATGGTTTTCTCGTATCGACCTGTGTACGGGTTTCTGGTAAGTTCCCTTGACCAAGGACACAAAAAAGTACACGGCTTTTGTTACACCATTTGACTTGTACCAATACAATCGCCTGCCATTTGGACGAAAGAACTCTCGAGCCTGGTTTCAAAAGATGATTAATGATTCACTGAAGCCATACCCTGGGGTCTTTTACAATGTCTACATTGACAATATATTCATATTTACGAAGACTGAAGAGTAGCATCAAAGTCACCTTTCTCGGGTTCTTAGTGCTCTTAGTCAAGCTCAGCTGAAGGTGAACTTCCAGCAGAGCGCATTTTTTTTTTCAAGATAAAGTGGTTTTTCCAGACAGGGTCTTTGACCGGACTACAAAAAGCACAAAGTAGGATTCCGTTGACAGAATTTCTAAACTGTAGAAACCATACTACGTTAATTCTCTGCGAGTATTTCTTGGCCTAGCTGGTCATTACAGGTCTTTCAAAAAGGATTATTCAACAAGGACTAGGTGTTTCACTCGTCTGATGCAAAAATACGTTCCTTTTCTATGGAGCCCGGAGTGCGAAAGAGCTTACAGTGAACTAGAGAAACAGACATCATCAGATCCCATTCTTCGTATACCGGACTACATCATGCCTGGTGTTGCGCTGTAAGAAAGTTCACGATGGATACATCATGCCTTTTGTGCTCAATACCGACGCATTGCACTATGCAACGGGTGCAGTTCTGTATCAGAAGCCGTCACAACTACATGATCATCAGAAGCATCACGTAGTCAGATACTGAAGCTATATACGCTGAAGCCTGCCAAAGTTAATTATACTACTACTCAAAGAGAAGCATTGGTCGTTTTAAAAGCTGTCCAGTATTTTCGTACGTACCAGGAGGGTACGAAACTCACCCTATTTACGGATAATCAAGCTCTGACTGATCTCCTAAATATGGCACAACCAGCCGAACCAAAGGGTCGAATCCCTAGACGGATGAACTACCTACATATCGCACCGTCCTGGTGATGCAGATGTACAGTCTAGACTACCTTTTCACGAGCCAAGCGATGATCCTCAAGAAATAAATTTGGTCACGTTATGGGAAGGCACGGAGGAAATGAAGTTTTCTCAGGGAAAATATCATGTCCCGTCGACAATGGTTCCCAAAATACTTCGTCTGTACCACGATAGCCCAGAGTAGGGAGGACATAATGGTTTCGGCCAAAACTACAACAAGCTCTTGTAAAGGTTCACGTGGCCAAACATGAAAGAGAACGTGAGAAACTACATTCACACGTGCCACTTGTTTCAAGTGAACAAAGTGAAGTTTAAGTAGGTAACTGGTGTAAAGATAACACCAAAATACTACAACATCCACTTTGAAATTCTTCACTTAACTGAAAAAGAAGGGCAAAGGTAACAAGAAAACACAAGCACTCCTGCTTCGCATAGACGAATACACAAGAATGGTCAACACGAAGGCAGGAAGAGAGGATACCAAC